TGTGTGTGTGTGTGTGTGTGTGTGTGTGTGTGTGTGTGTCTCGTCAGATCCTGGCACAACGTGTACTGCGTCATCAATAACCACGAGATGGGCTTCTACAAAGACAACAAGAGCGCGGCGCAGGGCGTCCCGTACCACAGCGAGATCCCCATCAGCCTGAAGGACGCCGTCTGCGAGGTGGCCATCGGCTACAAGAAGAAGAAGCACGTCTTCAAGCTCAGGTGAGGAGCGAGTCGATTGCTATCTCAATGAAGTTGTTCTGCTGTGACTAAAGCTCTTGTTCCTCCTCACAGAGTTACTGATGGAAATGAGTATCTCTTCCAAGCCAAAGATGATGTAAGTCTGCTTTTATCATAATAACTTCATCATAAATCCAGCAATATTACTCCAAAAGCTAGTGATGGGAGTTTATGGTTTATTTTTGCACATGTTGTTTAGCGGCGCACACTTGTGGTACATGAGAAACTGGACCTTCATATGATAAAACAGACTAAAAAAACACTTCTGATACCTGAATTAATGAATTCATTATAGGTTTTTAGTTCAAGTCAACCCCCAATCCATTAATTTCACGTTATTAGATTTTATAATCAAATATGTAATTAATTTGCACTTTGCAGCAACTGATGATAGATGGATGGATGATGGATGGATGATGGATGGATGGATGGATGATGGGATGTGTAAAATTTGAATTTAAAAAATGATTAACATTTTGTTTAAAATAAAAAAACTTACTAGCAACTAACTGAAATATGTTTAAGTTGAAGTGCTACAATTTCTAAAATTAAAAGTGGAATTGATCAATTAAATGGAATAAATTAAAATAAAATGAATATATATAGAAATAAAATGGCAAAATCACATTACAAAATTATGTAAAGTTACACCAAAATAAATAGAATTAACTAAAAATAACAATAAAAGTATATAGAAATATTTTTTAAAAACTGCCATTATTACATTGCAAAATTAAACTGAAATAAATTAATAAGGTAAATAGAACAAAATAAAGCTATATTAAAAAAAATAAAAATAAAATAAATATTACAAAATTACTGAAACTTAAACTAAAATATTGTAAATATAAAACAAAAAGTAATTCAAAATATTGAATAATATTATAAACTTAAAAATAACTTAATAATACTTAGAATTACATCTGTTCAGATTGAGAATTTATTTCAGTATTTGACAAAAATGCTGTTTTTATATGGCTTGAGGAAAAAGTCCTCGATAAAGATGCCCCAGAAAATCAATTCAACTGTGAAAAAAAAAAATTTATAATAATATTAGAAGTTGTAAATAAAACAAATATTACAAGAAAATACTATTTTGGTTTTTCTACTTCAAAATTTCATGTTTAATTCAATGTGTTACTTGCCTTTGAGTGAAAATTGTTTCTACACACTTTTTTCCAGTGTATGTGGGGCAAATATCAATAAGTGAATTTCTGCACAACATGTGTATGTACAGTACATATACAGTACAGATGTAATAGTGACTGTGTGTGCGTGATGTTTGAAGGAGGAGATGAACACATGGATCCAGGCCATTCAGAACGCCGGCAGCGGCTCCTCGTCCTCTGAGAAGTCAGAGATCACGCCTAGCAACCAGAGCACCCCCGCCTCCAGCCGTGCCCACACGCTCCCAGCAACCGTCACCCTGACGACCGAATCCAGCCCCGGCAAGCGCGAGAAGGACAAGGAGAAGCGCTTCAGTCTCTTCAGCAAGAAGAAGCAGTAGACAACCGAAACATTCGATTCGCTCATTCCCTCGATTCTTTTACGACTTTCTGTTTGTGTCCGCCCACCTCCTCCAGTGATATCCCAGCATGCAAAGCTCATAAAGACGCCACAATCTGTGCCTGAAAGCCCGCGAATTGGGTCCAAAGTTGTACAAAACGCAAGGAAAATCAAGAGTGTGTCGCGATTCGGGAACGTCGGCGATTCGAATGCCGTTTTTTTACGCTCTTCCGTTTCTATCGTGGTTGATTTCGAATTCTGACTATTGCTATCTCTCGTTTTTTGTAACTGTGTGTCATTGAGGGGTCTGGATATTTAAAACATTTCCTCAATTTTTATGAGGCTGTCTCAGAGATTCGCCGAGTCTCTCTTCGTTGACAGTGATGCTTCGAAACGATTCCATTAAACCGATACAATTCCACTTTAATGTCAGATTTGCCTTTTAACGACTATAAGCTGATAAACTAATATGAACGTAGATTAACATTGGCTTGAAGGCCTGGTAGACTTGTGTAATTTGATCAAATCGAGGTGGCTCGTACCAAACGCTTTGACGAGCTGTAAGAGCGTTTGCTATATACAGAGAACTAGTAACCTGAATCATTTGACGTCATGCTTTTTTTTTTATATATTTTTTATTGTAATAATAATTTTTTAATGTATTTTTGATTAAGTAAATGCAGCCTTCTGTTAAAAACATCACAAATTATTATTTTTTTTATTGACCCCAAACTTTTCAATGGTTGTGTAACACTTTATATAAGTAATCTGCTCATATTACTGTTCAAAATGTTAGGTTCTGTACATTTTTTGTTAAGTTGTTTTTGTTAGGTTTTGCAAAAACAATACTTTTATTCAGCAAGCATGCATTAAATTGATCAAAAGAGACAGTAAAGACATTTATAGTGTTACAAAATATTTCTCTTTCAAATAAATGCTGTTCTTTTGAACTTTCTATTCATCAAAGAATCACAAAAACTCAAATGTATCACGGTTTCCACAAAAATATGAAGCAGCACAACTGTTTTCAACATTGATAATAATCAGAAATGTTTCTCGAGCAGCAAATCAGCATATTAGAATGATTTCTGAAGATCATGTGACACTGACGACTGGAGTAATGATGCTGAAAATACAGCTGCGCATCACAGAAATAAATTATATTTTAACTGATATTCACATAGAAAACAGCTATTTTTAATTGTAATAATATTTCACAATTTTTACTGTATTTTCGATCAAATAAATGCAGCTTTGATGAGCTGACTTCTTTCCAAAACATTTAAAAACCTTACCAACCCCAAACTTTTGACTAGTAGCAAAAGTCTCCATCCAAGTCTTTGTTTAATCTCATTGTGGTCTATAGGAGAAACAATTAGGGTATTAAAGGGTATTCTTTCCTATGAGTGTGTGTTGCTGTAAAGTTTTTGGGGGCAACATCTCATAAGTTGTAAAGCGCCACATACACACTCACACACACACACACACACACACACACACATACACACACACACACACATACACTCACACACGCACTCACACACACGCACTCACACACACACTCACACACACACACACAGATCCTCCGGCCGACGCTCAGATGTATGAAACTGCACCTGTAGACTTTAACCTCCCTGCCCTGTTAAATATGTGCAATGTCATTAAATGCTTTTAAACATTACACTCGTGTCGTGTCATTCTGTGTGTTTATTTAGCTAGCCGTTGACGACTCGTTCTTAACTTGGGAGACTATAGTTGAGATCTGAAATCAATACTTTTATTCAGCATGGATGCATTAAAGTAAATCAAAAAATATATTTCCACTAAAATCTGAAGCAGCACAACTGTTTTCTACATTGATAATAATCAGAATCATTTTATCAGAATGATTTCTGAAGGATCATGTGACACTGAAGACTGGAGTAATGATGCTGACAATTCAGCTTTGATCACAGAAATAAATTATATTTTATGTATTCAAATAGATATTTTTTTTATTGTAATAATAATTTTTTAATGTATTTTTGATTAAGTAAATGCAGCCTTCTGTTAAAAACATCACAAATTATCTTTTTTTTTTATTGACCCCAAACTTTTCAATGGTTGTGTAACACTTTATATAAGTAATCTGCTCATATTACTGTTCAAAATGTTAGGTTCTGTAAGTTTTTTGTTAAGTTGTTTTTGTTAGGTTTTGCAAAAACAATACTTTTATTCAGCAAGCATGCATTAAATTGATCAAAAGAGACAGTAAAGACATTTATAGTGTTACAAAATATTTCTCTTTCAAATAAATGCTGTTCTTTTGAACTTTCTATTCATCAAAGAATCACAAAAAATCAAATGTATCACGGTTTCCACAAAAATATGAAGCAGCACAACTGTTTTCAACATTGATAATAATCAGAAATGTTTCTCGAGCAGCAAATCAGCATATTAGAATGATTTCTGAAGATCATGTGACACTGAAGACTGGAGTAATGATGCTGAAAATACAGCTGCGCATCACAGAAATAAATTATATTTTAACTGATATTCACATAGAAAACAGCTATTTTTAATTGTAATAATATTTCACAATTTTTACTGTATTTTCGATCAAATAAATGCAGCTTTGATGAGCTGACTTCTTTCCAAAACATTTAAAAACCTTACCAACCCCAAACTTTTGACTAGTAGCTAAAGTCTCCATCCAAGTCTTTGTTTAATCTCATTGTGGTCTATAGGAGAAACAATTAGGGTATTAAAGGGTATTCTTTCCTATGAGTGTGTGCTGCTGTAAAGTTTTTGGGGGCAACATCTCATAAGTTGTAAAGCGCCACATACACACTCACACACACATACACACACACACACACACACACACACACATAAACACTCACACACACACACACACACACACACACACACTCACACACACACACACTCACACACACACTCACACACACACACACACACACACACACACACTCACACACACACACACTCACACACACACTCACACACACACACACACACACACACACACACTCACACACACACACACTCACACACACACTCACACACACACACACACACACACACACACACTCACACACACACACACTCACACACACACTCACACACACACACACACACACACACACACACTCACACACACACACACTCACACACACACTCACACACACACACACACACACACACACACACTCACACACACACACACTCACACACACACTCACACACACACACACACACCATCTGTGATCTCCATATGTCTGTGATTAGTTCATGAGGTTTGAACCACAACATCACACACACCAGCACAACCTTCACAATCAGCACGACTTCCTGTCATGTGACTTCAGCTTTGTCTAAAAGAGCGTTTCACATCCTCTCTAACCTGCTGGGAAAGATCTGATCAATATCTCAAATTACACTCCATCAAGTCTCGGAGCCAGAATTTTTCTGGGCTGTTGCACAATCGATCATTTCTTAAATGTTATGAAGTGTTCAGTTACATAAGCATCAATCCATACACATTTTGAAATCTAGTGTTAAAAAATTTAGAGAAAGATGACATTAAATGTATAATAATGACATTTAAATAGCATAATATCTATTAGGATAACCCTTATAGATGAATATGGGTTGTTTTTCCAGAAGGAAAGCAGTTTATTTGATATATTCCAGTGCATTTGTTGATAGTTAGTCCTCCAGTAATCATATTAATTCGTGTAATTAAATCAGGCTTTACCTAAACTCCCTCCAAACCAAGACACTGATATCATGTCTGTGTGGTACAAGCAGTGAACCCTGACATTTTACTCTGATTTTACACGGTTTATTCCATAGATTTGAGACTGTTAATCTGTATAATCATTAGATTATGCATTACACAATCCTGTGATTATAGCCGATTACATTGAAATAAAATGTTCAATCAGACATGAACGAAAACATTCATCTGGACTCTGTTTAGCCTTGTTTAGACATTTATGACTTGCACTTTATAGATCACATAATTCTCAACTTTCAGAACTGTTTTATGGAGTTTTTAATGCTGTTAAACAACAGTAGAAATCCATTAAAGGTGCTACACTCTTAAAAATAAAGGTGCTTCATGATGCTATAGAAGAACCTTTAACATCTGAAGAACCTTTCTGTTTCACCAAAGCTTCTTTGTGGCAAAAAAAGGTTCTTCAGATTATAAAAAGGTAAGAAAGAGATGGTTCTTTAAAGAACCTTTGACTGAATGCTTCTTTGTGGAACCAAAAATGGTTCTTCTATGGCATCGCTGTGAAGAACCTTTTATTTTTAAGAGTATACTTCAGTTTCTCACTTCATTCCTGTGAAGAATTGACTCTGACTAAAGTCTACAGCACATTTTACACGGGTTTTAGAAACAAAAATACTGATAACGAAACATCACGAAGGCTTTTTGTACTAATGCATTGATGAGAACGCTGCAGTATGAACATGTGGAAAGTCTCAAATGCTATTTCTGTGATTAAACGTCGTTAATTTTCAAGGCTGTAGAGTTTAGTAGAGATGCTATGACATGTCCCTAACAATGTCCACTACTAAATTGTCTCTAGCAATCATTTTGATCTGTTGTGGTTGTCTGCTGTTATGTCCCCAGCAGTGCCAGAACCAAACCTACAGGCTCTTGCTCATGTGTTCAGCTGAGCTCTTCAGTCACGTGGGTCCGTCTTAAGCAGCATCAGTGGGCTCCGGATTTCCTTCTGCTGGGGGATGCCCTTCCCAGCATCCTCTCCATGACCGTCAACATGTCCACTCACACAATAACAAACACGTCTCACAATCAACGGCCAGCACAGCATTACAGCATGCAATTCATTTCTCACTAGTCAAAATATCGTAATGTTAATGCATTGCTAGTGGACATTTGTAATTCGAAATCCAATCAGAATCAAGCAGGAATCTGTTAAAAATCCAATAATATTTGTAGAAACAATACCAACCCTTCAGCTTGTTTTTTACTATTTTATTTGATCCTACATGATCTTAAATTCTTCGTAGACTCGTATTTGAACTGCGAATTCACTTAGAATACTTGTAAAAAATATTATTATTATTATTATTTAATTTAGACAATTTTAATTAAATATTAAAAAAATTATGCAATTCTAATAATTAAAAATTGTTTTACATAATTATAAATAATTAAAGAAGTATATGTAAAAAATGATTAAAGAATTATATAAAAAAATAATTTAATTAAAAATGTTTTTAATAATCCTATATGAATATGATTATACGAATATAATTAAATTATTTAATTATTATCAAAATGTATAATAATTGTACTTAAATGTCATAAATAATTAAAACAATACAAAATAAATAAACAAACAAAAATAACTAAAAAATATATTTTTTTATATTTATTTTTTATTTTTAAAATTACATATATTATTAGAATTTTTAATAGATTTTTAATGTTGTCAAAATTATTATAAAAACACAATAGCGTTCCTTCTAGCGCTTTTTAGCGTTTCCTAATATGCTATCTCCATACATGTTGTTGTTTATAAAATTATGTATGTGTTGATATAATATAATATAGCAAAACGATCTCTCAAAGAATGTTCTTGGCCGAAGACCCGTATGTTCAGCACGTTGGACAGCGCATGCTGAGCGCCCATGGGATTTGAAGTCATTTTCGCGCGGCTGTGCGTCACGGGAGACCACTTAGAACTACAAGTCCCATGATTCCTTGCGCGACGCCGCTTTTCCTGCTCGTCGGCATCATCGGAAACGGGCCACAAGGCGTCGTAGTAACCAAGCCGAGTGGCTTGCTAGAAACCAGAAATCATATTCTCCAAAATATTACGCCAATAACTCGACTCAAAGCGCCTTTACTCCCTCAACGCTGCGCCGAGTTCGCGGTGGAAGGGATTAATCCACCTGAAGCAGCTCGCTCGGCTCGTTCCCTTCGTGTGAGAGTGAGGGTTTGTGCGCCTCAGAGCCGGTTTCTGATGATCCGGATCACGCGGGGAACCGAAGAGTTTGCTTGAGGATCACGCGGGGAACCGAAGAGCTCCAGGCTGAAGTTGAAGAGCATGAAGACGGTTTTGGGGGGAGGTCTGATCGTCGGCGCGATCGAGAATCGTCTGACGGCTGAAATCGTGGCGACTTTCTGAAATCCCGGAGGCAAACACGCCGACTTCTGCCCTTTAGAGATGATTAACAGCACGGTGGCTTTGAGGTTTGTCTCCTGATGTCTCTGCAGCCCTTTAAAGACGTCCAGACCTCAGTGTGCTGAAGGTGTCCGGCTTGCACGAGGTAGTTGTAGATGCATCTGGACCAAGATCAGCGGCTAGAGTTGTTTTTAACGGTAATGCACAGATGTAGCATGCTTTCAAAAGGCTTTTATATTGTAAAAACCCATGCAATGTTTGCTAGCTGTGACCAACTATTCCGGTATGAACATTTATAATCACTCCTGACTCTTTCTTTGATTGCATTCCCTTTAATCTGGATCCAAATATCAGCATTTTCCCATCACTGTAGCCTGATTTCTTCATGACACCCATTGGGATCTTCAGACACCCTTCCCTGTACAGGTGACCCGGCTTGTGTTCCAGTTATGCTGCAACTTCAAGAGGGCGTTGATTGGTGGCGGTCCCATAGAGTTGGTTAAAGATCTGAACTGGTGTCCGAAAGGCTGTAGGTAGCAACCCTACAAGAGGTTAACCATCACCATTGTGTCTTTGACCTCCACAGAGCCCATCCCTGTAGAAAGTCCACTGACACTTTTGTGAATGATAGACCATTGCAGATCCCGAGAGCATGGCGGATAAGACGGCCCCCCGCTGTCAGCTGAGGCTGGAGTGGATTCATGGATACAGAGGCCATCAGTGCAGGAATAACCTGTACTACACCGCGGGGAAGGAGATCGTGTATTTCGTGGCTGGAGTCGGAGTGGTTTACAGCACCAGAGAACACACACAGAAGTTTTTCTTGGGACACAACGACGACATTATTAGGTATGCCGATGCTCTTTATAACAGATGCCAAATATCAAAACACCACAAATTTACCATGCACTATAATTCCATTGTAATCTTTTAAATGCCGCAAGTAACATCACTTAATATGGCAATCATTCAGTACCATGGGTATGTATCAAAGTACCATGATGTTTTTGGAATATGTACCATAGTAAAGTCATGGCGTTTTTGGAGTACCATGACGTTTTCTTGGACATGCATGACATGATGATGCCATGTTTTTAGGACTTATATCATTGGAAATACCATTCAATTCTTTGAAATGCTACAAGGTCTGATGTAAATACCATGGTAATCATTTAGTACCATTGTAAGTGACAAAGTACAATGATAATACCATGTTTTTAAAATGTACCATGGTAATATGGTGGTACTTACAATTTTTTTTTTTGGACAAATGCAATGGCAAAAGCCTGTGTTTCTGGACATGTGCATGCATTGGTGTTACCATGTTTTTTTTTTTTTTTTTTTTTTTTTTTTTTTTTTCTTGTATTGTTTTAAAAATCCCTAGGTATGATATAAATATCATGGTAAATTAACATGACAATCATTCAGAATCATTGTATGTAACAAAATACCATGTTTTCTAACATGGTAATTTCATGGTATTTCTTGGAGAACCATGATATTGCAATATTTTGGACAAACACGATGGCAAAACCATTGGTGATACCATGTTTGTTTGGACATTTGCCATGGCAATGCCATTGTATTTTTTAAAAAGCATGAAATTTCATGCGTATACCATGGTAAATTAATATATCAGCACCAATCATGATAACAAAATACCATGATAATACCTTGCTTTCTAATATGTACCATGGTAAGGTCATGGTATTTCTTGGAGCATCACAATTTTTACTGCACAAATATTGTGACAAACCAATTGGTGATACTATGGTTCTTTTGGACATTTACCATGCCAATGCCATTGTATTCTTTTAAATGCCACAGCATTTAATGCATATACCATGGTAAATTAATATATCAATCAGCACCAATCACAGTAAACAAATACCATGTTTGAATATGTACCATAGTAATGTCGTATTTCATGGATTATGGTATTAATATCACAGTTTTTTAGACGTGTACCACAGCAATTACAGGTATTTGTACTCTTATTATAGTATTGCCATGGTATTGTTTAAAAACAGAGTACCACATGAATACCATGGTACTTGAATAATCATTATATATCATAATACCATGACTGCACTATCATACGATAGTGTGTTTGTTTGCCCGTGTAGTGTTGACAGTAGTTGTTCCTCTCTGATAAAGCGGTTTGTATCTGAGACACCTGATGCTATCTGAACGTCGGCACGCATTTCCATCCGCACATTTATCAGACCGTCGTCTCTCGGACGGATCAGTGCATCCCAGCTTTACAATCTCATACGGCCGGCGAGCAGGCGAGGGGTCAGGACTCGTATACTGATTATATCATTGAGCAGCAGCAGGATTCTGGAATGAAATGGGGTTCATATGCAGAGACGGCAGCAGGATGGCCCAAGCGCAGCTGGGGGGCAGCGCTTGTGTAAAAAGCCTTTTCATGTTCCGCAAAGCTATGCGGTTTTTCTCCTGAAGGGAGGATACAGTGAGGAATTGACCGCGTCTTTTCCTCACTCTCCTCCAGGTGAACTCCTATAAAAGAGGACACTTGTGTTTCTAGCAACGCACAAAAAATATTTAACATAAACTAATAAACTTAATGTGATGCATATTTGTTAGTCACACATAAATGAAACGGGTCAGATTTCTGTAATACACCATAAAAAAAAGATTTTTCAAAATGTAAATAAAACAAAGATTATGTTTTACAAGAAAATACTGGTTTTTATACTTCAAAATCCAATGTGTTACTTGTCATTTCTTTGTAATTAATTGTGAAATTGACAAGTAATTACAAGTATAAAAAAACTAATTTTTTTTACTAATAAATAAATGTGTTTTAAAGGCACAATTTATTTAATTAGTTTATATATTTATCATCAATAATTCAAATTTTTTTCAATCTCTTACATTTTAACTAACTGAATATTGCTTTTTCCAAAGTTATCCATATTTTAACCATGTTCATACATTTTAACTGAATAAATGTAATTGTTTTCACAGTGAACAGATTCATGCTAAGCAATTTGAATAGATGCATTTTGAAAATAATGTTATGATTTAAATAATCAAATAGATGCATATAATCAACTATGCCATTTATTTATTTATTTATTATCACAATAAGTTTATTTGTATCAAATGCATATAGATGCATACAATTAATAATAAGCTATACTGTGTTTATTTCGTTTATTCATTAATTTATTTGCATAACATTAAGTTTATTAGTTTGTTTATAGTAAATACATACAGATGCTTATATTTAATAATAAACTATGCCATGTTTTCATTGATTTAGTTTTAGTTTATTTATTTACTTATTTATTTGCATCACATTACGTTTATTAGTTTGTTTATATTAAAACCTTAGTCCAAAATGCATGTATATTTTATATGTAATTCAAATGCATAAATCTTAAATTTAGGCTTGAATATTTTATCTGCGTGAGGGTGAAAGATGTATTTTGTATTGATCATAGACCGAAAAATAATTCAGAATTATGGTTTATAGTTTGCATCTTGCATTTTAGTCAGGTTTGCATGAATATTTGTTTTATGGACTGTGTTGTGACAGAAAGCCAAGTAGATTTAACAATATTTAGTCCCGTTTACATTTTCCCGACTGTCAAATCCACACATCGCCGGCTCTGTTTGTGCCCGAGGGTGGGATGCTATTCTTGTCATCCGATTCCATTCACAGCAGTTATCATCTTGCCCAGATCCTCAACAGACTGATCGCTCCAGTACAGCTATCATGTTTGTTTATAATAATGTTTAATTGCTTGGTTAGAGTTAGAGTGCAGGTTACATTCTGTGAAGGAAGAGTCACAGGATATGTGCTGAATTATGGGATGCGAGGTGTCTTGTTTTAGGCTGAGCCTGCAGATGATGGATTTGGTAATTAGTGTTGATTGTCTCAAATGTCCCATCACCTCGTTTAGCAGGTCTCTCTGTAATGTGCACCTATAAACGGAAACCACGAGACAGCCTTTGTGTTATTGCAGTAATTGTGTATGTTTATGGAAACTCTTGACATTCAGTGTTGTTGGCTTTTGCCAGATTGTATTATATTAGAAACACACACACGCTGGTCATGGTCGACGTAGACAGACGAGTGAGTATATTAACCCAGTTCATCTTGATGCCTGAGGGGGAACTTTGCTATTAAAAGTCATATTAAAAGTACTATGAAACACACATGATGCCAGTGGCGCCGAGGTATAAAATGTGCTTTTACTGCGGTGCAGAGCCACATCGAATAAACTTACACTGTCATTCTGGGGTACAGTAGAGCAGCCTTGTGTTTATGCAACAATTATTTAAGGTGTTTAAGTCAACTGTCACTAATACTAGCGCTCATAGTTAGTGTTAGTGATTTGTACAGACCTTGCTTGAACACTAAGAATTAAACTCGTCCTGCAGTAAATCATGTGTCTTGTTAAGGAGAGGTGTACAGTTACTATATATTATGTGCTCGTTTATTCATGCAAGAAGATTTTGCCTGGCAGGCGATAAAACAAGCAATTTATACCAGAATAATTCTAGAGATGTGAAGGTGATGTAGTTTGTTTAACAGGTGCTTTAAGTCTTTTTTGTTGTTGATTGCATCACTTTAGCATTGCAAAACAACAAGCTTCTTGTTCAATATTTTTGTCTTGTTTTCTAGTACAAATATATAAATATTCTAAAAAATATATATATATTTACTTGAGAAACAAAATGACTTAAGATGTTAAGTCTTGTTTAAAAAAAAAAAAAAAAAATCTAAATTAAGTGAGTTTATGCTTAAAACAAGAAAAAATATCTGCTTAAGAATTACAAACCCAATTCCAAAAAAGTTGGGACACTGTACAAATTGTGAGTAGAAAAAGGAATGGAATAATTTACAAATCTCATAAACTTATATTTTATTCACAATAGAATATAGATAACATATCAAATGTTGAAAGTGAGACATTTTGAAATTCATTGAAATTGGATTTCATGAGAGCTATACATTCCAAAAAAGTTGGGACGGGTAGCAATAAGAGGCCGGAAAAGTTAAATGTACATATAAGGAACAGCTGGAGGACCAATTTGCAACTTATTAGGTCAATTGGCAACATGATTGGGTATAAAAAGAGCCTCTCAGAGTGGCAGTGTCTCTCAGAAGTCAAGATGGGCAGAGGATCACCAATTCCCCCAATGCTGCGGCGAAAAATAGTGGAGCAATATCAGAAAGGAGTTACTCAGAGAAAAATTGCAAAGAGTTTGATTGAATCTTCCACATCATTGCATTCTGTTTTTATTCACAATTTGTACAGTGTCCCAACTTTTTTGGAATCGGGTTTCTAATTTTTCTGACCACATTGGGATATTGACATATTTAATTCTAATAAATTGTTCAGAATACAAGACTAAATATCTTTATATAATTTTGCTTTTTAAGTAAAATGTAGTTTGATTTAAGATTACATTTGTCATCACAAAAATGTAAACTGTATTATCACACAGGTCTATATATATATATATATATATATATATATATATAAGGTGGCTATGTGTGTATATATATATATATATATATATATATGATATTATAAGGCCTGATTTTAGAATTGGGTTTTTTTTTTCTCAGTGGCGTTTGTCATTCAGTTCTCTTTGTGTAAATTTAGCATCATAACATATAAAAAAAATTTGTTGTTGAAAATAAAAATAAAAATTTTTTTTTGTAAAAATTTATTTTTTTTAAAAATTTAGTTATTGGAGTATGTTTTACAAGAAAATACTATTTCAGTCTTTCTATTTTAAACTTCATGTTTAATTCAATGAGTAATTTAATTCCTTGTAATTATTTTGAAATGTACTAGCAATTTCTG